ATCTGCTCTCGAACGAGACGTATGGTACCGGACTTAATTCGCTCTGCCACACTTCCGCCACACTTATTAGTATAGGCATGTAAAGTAAAGGATGTAGAAGAGTCGGGAAGTTCATTGATTGTGGAGGAAATGGTGAATGACCGCAACCATTTCCCTGTTAATCAAGATATTCATAGATAAATACCTGCTATTCCCTCGTTCGACCGCTTCACATGCTCTCTAACATCCGTGGAATGAATAGGTGTTGTACACAGTCCGCATACGACCCCATTCCTAGCATTTCAGACAGACGTTCGGTCGAAGTTCTCGATGATATCATTCTGCAACTTGAAATGAATAAATGCTGAAACCAGACGAAGAGCGGTGGTTGGAAGAACGGCAAAAAGTTATCGAGGAGTGGAGTGATGTGAGGCCTTTATTGGAATTTCATTCTTTTTTCAATTTTTTAATATTTCATCCTAGCTCTGTTTCGATGTTTCTGTATATTGTTGTTATTTCGTCGCATTACGCGATATGCAAGTTTCACAGAGATGACAAGTTGTAAGAAAAATTTCGGTCTCGACAGAAATTCGATCCTCCCGCAGTTGTTCTTATCAGGTACCAAGCTCTTCATCTCTTACACTACCGGCACACCGCTTGCCTTGGCCTTATCAATGGCTTTCAAGCCACAGCTTATCAGCGCTCGCATGTACGTACGTTATGGACCTGCCAGCCATTATCGACATTGAACCATGAAGCTGTAAGCTTTCTATACAACTTAGCCAAATTGAAGGAGGAGAATGTGGTCTCAAAGATCAGATTAGATGCAAAGCTCTGTTCACAGGCCATGCTATATTCCCGGTGACGGCAACAAGGTTTGCCCAATTCTAGCCGATACAACTTCCATACAGACTTTGAAGAGCGCGGTGCTCTTGAAGCACGAGTACGGGCTCGTGTACCATCCAACATTAAAGTTTCGCCCATCACTCACCATCCTTGAAGGGTTAACCTTCCCAGTTCCACCTTATGATAAACTCAGGTAGCCCTGTAGGGTTAGCCCCTGTCTAGGGACATTCTTAAATACGACAAAAACCCAATACTAAAGATTTAAACTGCCCTTCTGATGTTAGCATTGAGTTGAACATTCCTTCAGATGCACCGTGGCATTTCGATCCCGATTCAAACCTTACAATTGTATTATATAGTGCGCTTCTTCATGGTGTGCGAAGAAAACGTTCCAACTCTCAAGCATGAGTCTCCCAAGCAGTACCAATCAATCACGGGAAAAGAAGGAAAATGTGGTCCTTGCAGGCAAAATCAGATCCAAGCTTGATTCATGGGCCTCATGGGCCGCGTCATATGGCTAGAAGCGGCAAGAAGATATGGTTCTGCCCCAACCTCGCCCACACAACATTCATCTCTCCCTAAAACTGCGATGTTAACCAAGCCAGGAATGACCACTGAACATCGCCAATCGCCTACTTCCAAATTCTCTAAACCATCGCTGGGTGAAGTATTGTCCACCCTGCGATGGTTTAGGGAATTTGAAAGTTGGCGATGGGCGATGTTCAGTGGTCGTTCCACAGCAGCCAGTTCACGATTAAGATGAAGACGATAAGGGCAGGAATCTTCCCTTCATGTGAGCTGGCCTAGGTGGCGTTCCCATTGATGGACCAGATTGAGCTGCCAATCAAAAGCATGAGTAATGTGAACAGAGCATCAGGCTTTTCCTCTTGCACGCTCGGCTTCGTCACAGCTTTCAAGGCCTTCGACATTCTGGGTTCATAAGTGCCCGTGATGAACCTCTTTCAATGGAGGCAACTGTAAGCGAACCAGTCTTCCGACCCAACATAAAATTCACTTTCCATCTAGTGTGAGGACTCCATTAGAGCTTTGTGAATGGGCACTAGAAGCAAAAGCCGTGAATCTTGACAGTCGATTGGTTAATTGCATGGCTGAGCGAGCATTCCAAGAAGTGGACCATCCACAATTCCTGAACTGACCGTTTGGGTCTTTGACGAACCTTTCTTGATTCTGCTGGGCGTTCCAGCATCATCATCATCACATGGAGAACTGGAACTTCCAGTTGGACGAGCTGTTCAAACACGATTCCACTTCGGGTTTTTTCTCAATGACCTTTCCATAATGGAGGATGCCTCGCGGGTGGTTAAGATACACACCACAAGGCTAGTGGGCGGTGGCAGTATCGATTCGGAGGCCGGGTGGTGTGAGCAGTAGTTTGGCTCAATGTCAGCTGGCACGAGGGTTTGTGATTTCATTTCTTCACAACTTTTTTTTTACCCACTTAATACTTCAAAGTGATTCCCCTAGGAAAAAAACGATTGAGATCCGCAACTAAAATTACAATCTTTCGAAGAGAAAAAAGTTTTTTATTTCAATTTTTTAGTTCAGTTAAGCCCTTTCCAGACGTTCTGTTTTGCCATTTCTCCATCGCATTTTTCAATGTTTATCTTTTGCTTACTTTCTATGACGTATTTAATGTTTACCTATTTATTTATCGTTGTGTTACGTGTTTATGCATTCGTATACTATAAACAACAGTAAAGACTGAGAGGCTCATCATGATCACCTATCAATCGACTGATTCAATCGAACCACTCCTTTAAATTGATTAGGTATTGATTCGAAAGACATGAGGAGAACCTAAGGTGCCAAGTGTGCAGGGTAGAACCCGATCCAACGGCTGAAGTGACCCCTATTTCTATATTCTAAGATTTCAAACCGTAACTTGGGTATCACTTAACCATTTACGGAAAAGTATCACTAGTTATCATCGAACTTGGTTATTAAATCCTTTTTTATGGTTATTGCATATATTTTTTCACTCGATGTCCTATTCCCGATATGCTGGTGTTGTTCCCACTCGGTGTATCAAAACAAATGTAAATAACAAAGAGATATTACAGATATCGATTAATCTTGCTGTCGGGTGAGAGTAGGAAGTCCCAACAGTACTGGAGCTCTACTTATGAAAAAACAGAAAACTAGTTCTTGGGAAGCAGAATGCTTTCCCCACCAAAATGATGTGAAACCCTCGGAATGAGTTTTATCTTAGAAAATCCATCAAGGAATATTTGTCCAGTCCCCTTTCTGATCTTTCACTTCCATATTTTCACCCCCTTTCTGATCTTTCACCTCCAACCTAAGCCCACAAAAATGATGGAATTTTTCTTCTTTTTTCAGCTAATATTATCTGCCTCTGCATGCCGATTTGTCCAAATCAAAATTTATATCGATTTTTCGGTAAATCGGAGAGCAATTACTTTTTGTTATTTGTTTACTCATGGCTCCTAACAATTACCTCTTTTCACGTCTCATTCATCGATCGCCTTCGTCCATCGAATTAGGTGCTATTCACGCATCCCTTCCTAATTTCCCTCGAGACCACTCCTATTCAATTTCTCGCCTGGGTTCTCAGGGTTTTTCTTTCCTAAAAGAGGCTTGTTTCTACCTGACGAGGTTCCCCTTTCATTTGCATTTCTTCGAAGACTTCTCCGGATACTAGGCCTTATCTTGAAAGTTGCAACTGTGAGTATTATTCTAGTACGGCGATCCTCCTATGCCTGTAGCACCACTCATCCTCAATATGTTTCATCGTCTATGTATTCCCTCCGAGGGTTCAGCGAATCGAAGCCTCGCGGTCGTTTCGTAGAAGCCGATCGGCCATTTCTGCCAGCGGAAGCTTCACAGTGTAACCCACATAAAAACCAATCACTTTCCATCTTTTCAAACCTGCGTACTCTCCAACTGCACTTTGCGTAGTTCAGTACTTTGAGAGAATTCTGAGAAACGAATCGCCTATTCAGATCATTTCTCACATTACCCTCTACCTCTTTCCGATTCCCGAAAACCTGCTCAATTTTACGATTCACTTCTTTGTTACAACCCTACGAAACGACACTTCTCCAGAGCAACTTAGCCTTCGACAAAATGCTGAAATGCTGTTCACTACGGCTTGTAAATCATGCTCATACCACTAAAAAACCCTATGGCATTTGAGACATGAGAACAAGGTGGGATCGTGACAGACTACTGGGCGTCGTACCTGTAAGGGAGCTCATACATTGCCTTCAAAGAATAGTTTGGATCACAAGTGCAGTGAAGTACGTAGCGTAGTATCCCTCCCACCTTCCCCCCCCCCCCTTCCCTTTCTTGTTGCTGAAAAGAAAGGGAGTAAATCCATCAAGCCTAAGCCTGAGATTGAGGAAAGGAGGTTTACTCAGGCCAGTAGCGAAAGGCGTGACCTTGGATGGCAAGGATGACAACAGATGTCAAGGGTGCATAAGGGGAGACCAGCTGACATCGCAAACCTCGCGCTGTCAATGGAGAGCGATAATCACTTTTGGATCACAACACGTGCCCTTCCGTATCCCATTTAGTAAGTGTGAGGTTTTAGAATGGAATTTTTCTGGCTATATTTCTTTTGTCGACCTTTTCTTCGGGCGGCAAATAAGCTGCCTAGAGAAAGGATAGCCCTCAATAGGCAGAAGCCTGCCAAAAATTGAATTAGTTTTTCAATAACTCTAGTGCCTACCCAACCATTCTCTCGTCTCTGCTCCATTTATGAATGATACAAGTGGTGGGTTAATCCTTTTATCATTCTGACTTCTGCTATCTCTGAAACCTGACTGAGTTAGGGGAAAGGGAAGGAGGGAACTGTCTACAGTAGATGCTTTCCCCGCCATGTTTCCTCCGGGTGCAGTTCTCTTTACAGCGGTTCTTATCAGTACTATTTCGAGCACAACGATCTCCATGTTATTCCCAGCCGTTTTGATGGACGTGACACAGACGCGGACGTATTATCAAATAGGATTATGCATATTGAAGGTGTCGATGTTGTTGAACAGCTGTTTCCAGAGTCACTACTTACTATTGAAGGGTGGAGCTACATGAAAACAACATTGAGTACCTCCAAAAACAGCTGTTCCGCACATCAACAGACCCGTTCCCACTAACCGATTCGACCAGTCGTCTGCGCTGGGTCATCTCAGCCGTTAAGTATGAAGGTTATTCATTCATTCACCAATCTTTCATCTGATTTTGGAAGTGTTTTTATTGTAACAAAAAACCTTCCTGATTTTGAAAATGCTCTTGTTGTAGAAGAAAAAACCGTCGAAAATTCAAAGAACGAATCTATCATTAGAATTAATAAGAATTTATGGGTAAATCCCGAATATTTCCCATTAAAACTTGGATTTCATCATAAATATCCCCCTAATATCAAGTACAAGTTCAGGCTATAACCTATAAATCAAATGTTTTCAGATCGAGTTACGATTCCCAGATGGACCACCAACGTCGCAGACCTCTCTCCCAGGCAGTGTACATCCTACTCGACCAGGATCTGCAGGCACCGCTAATGGTCACTATTTTAGCGATCCGGACCCATTGCTAGAGGAGATTCTCAACGAGGATTACAGTGAAGAAATGGTATGTAGCAACTACTATAGCTTCCTATTAATTAAATCTACCTATAAATCGAAAACTGAAATTCAAAAATATAAATTTAAAATTGGGATCAAGTTAAATTGAGTTAAAGTCACAAGAAAAAATCAGATTAAACTTTAAAAAATGAGTATTCCTTTATTGTATCAATCCTTTTTTGGAGTGCGGCCTCGCATTTAGCTTTCATTTGGAAACGTAGTTGTGGTCTGAATGCGTAGGTCATCTATACAATGGCTTGCGAAGGCTAACCGAAAGCCAGCGCTTCTTTCCTTCCAGACGAGTTTGTTAACCCAACAATTAACCGACCCCGGAAGGATGGAAGTCTGGGCGAGTATCGATCTGGGATTCAACCTCGGACCATGCATGTGTAATGGTGCGCCACGTGCTAAGACACCATGCGGTCCCAAAATTGAACTATATAAAGTAAATTATAAAGTCTCTGGGTTTACGCCATGCAATCGGCTTACAATAGGATTTAGGCTGCCAACTGTCCATATATAGAATCAAGTTTATTTCAACGGCAAGTAAATCATTTTATGAGCTGATTCTTATGTTTATACTTAACCCAGCCTTGATGCTTGCTCCGCTTCTCCCCTCCATTTCTCGAATTTTCCACTACGACAATCCGCATATGTACTGTAATAGTAACTACTGGATACATGTCGGCGATTTTCACAAACTGAACGTGCTTATTCATCGCTTGCTTGCTC